CTCCGCGTGATTTACATGCTTTTGTCGATTCCCTCTATCAGGGGAGCTGCTCTACTGGCCACCTCAGTCAGCATTGTAAACGTGGTCTACTTCGTGCACTTCATTGCGCTTGACCAAACCAAAAGCGCACGCAATGTTCGTTGCTACGAAGTGATATCCGTCTACATGCTCCGAGGAGGAGGTGTGGCTTCGGCACGCCCTGCGCCTGGAAAAGATGCTTTTGGACAGCATCCTGCCGCCGCAGATTGCGAAGCCCATCAGGGATAGCACCAAGAACAAGATCATGCTCGAGTTCGAGCGCTCCATCTGCGGTGGTTCGCGAAGGCCGGAAAACTTCATGGCCATCCAGATACTTCCCGACCTCAGTATCCTCTCCGACGACGTGGTGAACTGCACCCAGCTGACCACGCTGGAAAAGTTAAGGTGAATGTGCTGCACGACCTCTACGACAGATTCGATGTGGCTGCCTCTCACTTCAAAGTGCAGCGCCTCAAGTTCCTGGGCGCCTGTTACTATTGTGTGACGGAGGGTGACCCCGACCACGCCAAGATGGCGGTGTCCCTGGGCATTTCCATGATCGCCAACATCCAGGAAGTGCGGTGTGTGAGGCATTAAGATTGGAATTGGGCTCACTGCTTGAGCTGATCCCAGGGCAACACGAGGCTTGGAACTCGACATGTTTGCAGGTGTCATCGGAGAGGCCAACCTGCAGTTCGACACTTGGGGTAGGACAATCGTCTAAGGCGTTCTGAAACAAGTAATAATTAAAGTAACTAAATCTCCCCAATGCCTTTTCAGGTGCCGGGCTTTTTTTAGTGGGTCCACCTAAGTAACTTGAATGCAGACGACTATACAATTATACAGGGCACAAAGGCGGCTCATAAAGATACCGTCCTCCAAAAGTATCCAATGAGCACTTACCTTGTTACCGGCGAATTATGCCGTGAAACAGACATTGGGACCAATTCGGAACACCCAGATCGGAAGTAAGAGTTTGACAAGATGCCAGTTGGGAACTATGAGTAAGTGTGGAAAATTTGTTTTTCTTTAATTTTGACACTGATGTTAATTTGGTAGATTTAACTTCAACTTCCTAGCCCACTTAGTCGGTAACTTTGTCATAGAGTTTTCGACTTTTATGCTGCCGCCGAGATACCAATGCGAGAGATAAGAAAGCTGAATTTTTTGTGTAGCGTCAAGGGATTCATCTGTGGAACGTATAAATGTAAATATGTTGATATGCGCTTGGTTTTATATGATAAATTACCAGAGAGTTATATAAAAATTATAGATTTTAAATTTATCATCAAAATACAAATGATTTAACTAAATATTTATATTGGCCTGGAGCATTGGGTGGTGCCTCTGATCTACATCCAGGTCGTGACGAAGATAGTCTGAAAATTAAATGTTCATTTCCAAACAAAAACAATACAATGATGTGATGTGGTATATAGACAATATGTATAGTAAAATCTATACATGCTTGAAATACAATTTCATCTTGAATAAACATGTTTAATTTTTATAAATTTTTCCAATTTTTTGAAATATTTGGCCTAAAATGTATAGTATGAGACACACCTTTTTTAATTCTAGAAAAGTTTTCCTTTCTTCAAGGCCTAATTGCCCTAGATTTTTAAAAAGAAGCGCCATCAATTTTAGAAAACTTAAACCAAGAATTTATGGTGGGTTACCATTGATGGCAAAAATAAGGCGAATTTCTTAAATTTCGGGTACATTTTCTTATTAGGTCTTCTGCCGCCGCTCTGCCGCTGCTTGGCCACTTATCGGCTGCTCTGCCGGTGATCGCTGTTGTACAGAGACATCGCGAGAACTTTTAGCGCGGTGTGGTGCTCTTAGCTTCTAGTGTTGGCTATGCAGTTCAACATACGGCGCCAATTGCGTTTTTTTTTTCGATTTGTCACCGAACGTAATTCAATCTTTCTTTCAGTGGATCTTTATACCCTTGCAGAGGGTATTATAATCTCAGTCAGAAGTTTACAACGCAGTGAAGGAGACATTTTCGACCCCATAAAGTATATATATTCTTGATCAGCATCACTAGGAGAGTCGATCTAGTATCACTAGTCGAGAGGCGATCCGTTTGTCCGTCCGTCCGTCCATCTGTCCGTCCGTTTCTACGCAAACTAATCCCTTAGTTTTAAAGCTATCTGCATAAAACTTTTTCAAAAGTTGTCTTTCTATTGCAGGTAGTATATAAGTCGGAACGAGCCGGATCGGACTACTATAGCATATAGCTCCCATAGGAACGATCGGTATAATTATTGAAAAACAAGAAAGGAAGCAGTTATTGCAAGAATTAAATATTTTTGAAAACATTAAAATTAAGATTTTCTTGCGTATATGTTTAAAAACATTGAAGCTATGATGATATGCAGCTCAATTATTTGATTGTTATTTTATATATTTATATTATTTCTATGGGAGCTATTTTGATGAAATTTAAACCGTAATTCTGAAATATTTAACCATTACTATATGTCAATGAACTAATAGAAAAATTTAAAAACAGCAAAGTTATAATTTTTTTACTTTTTTTTCGATTGTTCCTATGGAAGCTATATGCTATAGTCGTTCCGACTTATATACTACCTGCAATAGAAAGACAACTTTTGGGAAATTTTCATGCAGATAGCTTTAAAACTGAGAGACTAGTTTGCATAGAAACGGACGGACAGACGGACGGACATGGCTAGATCGACTCTACTAGTGATACTGATCAAGAATATATATACTTTATAAGGTCGGAGATGTCCCCTTCACTGCGTTGCAAACATCTGACTGAAATCATAATACCCTCTGCAAGGGTATACAAATTATAACCTTGCTGTTTTTTAATTTTTTTGAATTCTTCAACATATAGCAATGGTTAAATATTTCAGAATTACGGTTTATCAAAATCGGACGACTAATTATATAGCTCCCATGGGAATAATAAAAGTATTAAAAACAATTTTTTTTTCAAATTTAACTTTTTTAATTTGTAATTTTTTTTAGAAATTCTTTTTGATTATTTAATTATTTGAAAGTTTAGAATTACTTTTAACTTTATTAAAATCGGAAAACGATATCATATAGCTGCCATGAAACTCAAATAATTGAGCTGCAGATCATCATAGCTTTAATGCTTTTAAATAAACACGCAAGTAAATCATAATTTTAATGTCTTCAAGAATATTTAATAGCTGCAAGGGTATATGAACGTCGGCTTGCCGAAGTTTGCTTCCTTTCTTGTTTTTTTTAGAATCGACTTCTTATCTCATTTCAAAGAGGAAATTGCGTTGTCCTTCATCTAGTACCAACTTCCTTTCCCGGTAATTTTCACGATTAAAGTTTTTTTTATCCTTGCTGAGTTTGTATAAATGAGAAATTGTCTGCAGTTTTAATACAATTTTATACTTTAATGCGTTTAATTAAGTTATTTGAAATATTAGACCTATGACCCATACGTGTCACTTTATAAACTACATGAGCTGTATGGGCTGATCTGAGCTGAAACTTTTAAGCCGTTTTATAAATATTATAAGTTATGATTCGCTAAAGCATTGACCCCAAAAGCATTGACTTAAAAAGCTTTCAAAGTACCGTCAATCTAGGGGAGCTGTGCTAAAACGGTCTGTTTACTTTCTCATATTTTTGTTCATTTTATAACCATACAAATAAAAAGACATTTCATATTCATATTTTTTTTTTCCAATTTATTTAAATTTGCAATATCCCTTAGTTGGTTATTGGCTATAGTCATTTTACGTTTTTGTATATTTATAAGGATTTTATTTTTGCTATATCTAATTTCGTGTTCTTACCGCTTTACGAGTATCAATGTGAAAAAATCAATTATTAAACATTCGGCTTGCATAAGCAAAGACTTTACCGATGCGCATTGCAAATGCATACATTTCCAGATATATCCACTTATTTTGATATAGATATGCACTAGACAAAACTAACCGAAACATCAAGCCAGAGACGCAACCAACGAGACAACAGTAACAGTGAGGCAAAACAAGCAACATAAATTTAGTCGCTTGACCTGCGGCAAAGTTGTTTTTTCATTTTCACGATTTCTAAACGTGTTATCAGAAATGGTACTCCATAAGGAAAAAGGGAAGTGGGAAAAAATAGGAGGAGGAGGGTATTGAAAAAAGTTCTTCCATAAAAGGCAGTCATATTAAATCTTGAACGTAAAAGTGGACAAATTTTTAAATGAGATAGGTCTTGTTACGATTTGTATTAGCCTATTTTATGGAACAAAATCCATAAATGTTTCGAAATGTTTTTAAGATTATAAGAGAGTATACTAAATTATTTAATTAGTATTTAATTAATTGAAGAAGGCCAGGAAGGATGGGCATATATTTGATGGTTTTAGCTTTAATTGCATTTAAGTGGAAATACAGTTGATTGTTAGGGATTTTGAGAGGAAATAAAACCGGGTTTTGGCAGATCTCTTAGAATTTGGTAAATTAACGCTTGTTTCCGGAGTTACACTTAAATAATATTTGATATAATAAAGGGTATTCCAAAGCCAAAGCGCGGAAAAGGTCAACACTCGTGCAACACACCGCAGAAAGGGGAGTGATTTGTAAGCAAGGACATGGGAATGGGAATGGGTTTGGGATTGGAAATGGAGGTCCTTGCCAGGTTGAAATAACATGGGGGATTTTTAGAAAAGCGACGACAAAACGTCGAATGAAAGATAAATAAAGAGCGCCGCCCAGGCGGCAGTCAAAAAGAAAAATCCGTGGAAAAAAGATGAAAAAGAAGGGAGTATAAAAATGTTAGAAAACGAAACGAAAGTAAAGCGAGCGCGACGCATTGCTGGCGATAAATCAAGCTGGGAGTACGGAAGCCGCGGAGCGCCAATGAAGGAGCGCGGATTGTACATATATATATATATATATATATATATTACATGGCTCCCTGCGAACGGCCGCATCTGCAGGTGCTGCCCGGAAAACTGGCGAACTGCCTCCCTTTCGCCCACTTTCCCCCGCAGTGAATCTGAATACTTTTTGGGTCGCATTGGAATACAAATATTTTCGCAGGTGGCAGCGACCGGTGCCGCTTAGGTGCTGTGAATTGGGAATCGATTTTGATTGCTATTCGGGTGGATTACTTGTCCACCTGGGCCGGCTCCATGGTGTACATGTCCCGCAGCAGCCGCGCAATGGGCACGTTGCCGATGGTCTCCTTGAAGAAGAGCGCCTCGATGGTGGCGGCTCGGATGGTTCGCAGCGACGGCAGCAGGAGCAGCAGCCTTCCGAAGCGGGTCGCCTGACGGGGGTACCGCAGACGCACGTGATCGGACAGGATGCACTGCGCCTGGTCCTGCAGCATCTCCACCGGCTGCACGTCGCACAGGCCGGCGGTCTCCGGGGCGAACAGAGCGATCGCCTTCATGCAGCCCACCTCGCTGCCGTCGGGCGTGATCTGTCGGAAGCGGCACAGGATCTCCTGGATCGTCTTCATCTCCGTCTGCGTGGCCTCGTCCTGCAGCACCCGCTCCCGGATGAGTGGCGACTCCAGGATGGGCGTTAGGTCCAGGGGAATAGTCCACTGTGCCAGGTTGAGCAGGAAGAGCTCCTTCCAAGACTCCTAAAAATACGTTCATTACAGAAAACACGAATTAGTTTTAGCTAAATTTTTTTATTTTAAGGGAATAGTCAGTTCTACAAAACAAGAGTTTAATATTAAACTGGTTCAGTTGACTAACCATAACCATAACCATAACCGTACTAGGATTAACTAATTCTGTTGCTTTGTGGGTACACATCTAATCTTTTCAGAATTTATTTATTTTAACATAGTCAATGACGTTGGTTTTAGAAGATAAGTTCATTCCTGATGCCGCCAATAGAGTAATATTTGTTTACCCATTTGTTTCGGACCCTATAAAGTATGTATATTATTAATCAGGATCAATAGCCGAATCGATCTAGACATGTTCGTCTGTTTGACCGCATGTCTGTCTGTCCGTCTATATAAACGTCGAGACCTCAGAAACTTTAGAAGCTAAAGATCTAAAATTTGGAATGCAAATTCAAATTTTAAAACGGAGCCACGCCCACTCTCCCGCCTACAAATGGAAAAGACTGTCACGTCACTCTGGACTCTGTGTGCCGATGGGTGGGGGAACTACAGGTTCTTAGCTTGGATTGATGTCTATACAGTTCGACAGATGGCGCCATTTAAGCTTTGATTGTTTTGTGGGGGATTATTTGTTGGCTGCGTAACGGGTGTCTTATAGTCGGGCAACTCGACTATAGCGGTTTTCCTCGTTCTTAATATCAATTTTACAATATTCGAAGGGTGGCCCAATGGGTTGGCACCCGGACTCACCTGAAGCAGCAAGTGCTGGTCGTTCTTGGACAGCGTCTGGAAGGGCATGAGGCACTTGACCCAGCGCACCGCCATGAAGAGCAGGCGCGCCGTCGTCTCCTGCAGCATCTCCCACGAGAGCAGGCGTGAGTCCAGCAGCTGCTGCGGGAAGAGCAGCGTGTTGTGCTGCACCTGGTACTGGATGAGCTCCTGGCACTTGTCCGGGCTGAGCAGCAGCTCCAGGAACCCGCTGGAGGTCGCTGCCGAGGTGGGGCAGGCGGTGCCTCCTCCCGGTCGCAGGGGCGGGGGCGGGGGCGTGGGCGTGGTGGGCGTCGGCGATCCGGATGTGTAGCTCGCCTGCTTCAGCTCTCCATTGTTGTTGTTGCTGGCGCGGATCAGCAGGGAGGCGTGGCTGGGCGGCGTGGTGGCCTCGCTCAGACTGCGCCGGGACATCTGGCGGGGCTGCGGTGATCCCGAGGAGGTGGTCAGCGTGGGAGCCGGCGAAATGCTGCCGGCACTCAAGGCCGGCGAGGCCGAGGGCGAAGGCGTCTCCGTCTCCACGTTCACCCGCGGACTCTCGCTGCCCAGGCTGAGTCCCTCCTCCTGAACGCCCACACTCCGCGATCCAATGCTCGAGATCGACTGGATGGAGTTGCTGGGCGAGGGCGAGTAGTGGTTGTGGTTGTTGCTGTTGTTATTGTTGTTGTTGTTGATGCTGCTGGGCGGCGAGGCCTGAGCCGCCGGGGAGTAAGGCGTTGTGGTGGAGGAGACCACGGCCGCCACGGCTGTGGCCGTGATCCCCGGCAGCTTGCTGGCAGCCTCGGCTATCAGGTTGTGGTGCAGCAAGTGCGAGGAGAAGGGCAGCGAGGGACCGCCGCCACCACCCCCACCGGATCCGCCGCTGGTTATCGAGCTGGCGGTTCCGTGCGGGGCCGGCAGCGAGTGTCCGGGGTGTCCGGAGTGTCCAGGATGCTGGAACGATGCGGCCTGGTGTCCATGGTGCAGGTGGCCACTGGGGGGACTGGCCCCTGGAAGCCACCTGGCGGAGCAGCGGCCGCGGGCGGATGGGTGGAGATGTGCTGGGTGTAGTTGAACGAGGCCGAGACGTTCGTCACCAGGGAGACGGGCAGGTGGCCGGCGGCATGGTGGTGGTGGTGCAGGCCAGCGGCGGCCGCCGCGGCTGCTGCAGCGTGGTGGGCGGCCGCCGCGTGGGCGTGGGCATGGTGGTGATGGTGGTGGTGGTGGTGGGCGGCTGCTGCATGGTGGGCAGCCGCCGCCGCGGCCGCGGCATGGTGGTGGTGGTGGTGCAGTTGCGGGTGCAGCTTTGGTTTCCTTGGACCGCGCTCGTGCTGAACAGCTGGGGAGGAAAGAGGAGGAATCGACTATTGAAAACATTTAGAAGTCTTGTTCAAGACCTATCGTCTTGGGAAATTTAGAAAATTTCGGAAAATGCAATGAAGTTAGGTCTAACACATTCTTAAATTTCGTTTTATTTATTTTATTTTATTTATTGTTTTAAGGGGCATAAGGTTGTAATGGCCAGTTTTTAATACACGTTATGTATTGGCATTTTAAGATCTTAAATTAAAATTTCATGTAAAACGCCCCATCGCAAAAAACCTCGACTTTATTTATTTTTATACAGACGGCAGACGGCATTATAATTTTAGTCAAAAGTTTGCAAAGCATCAAAGAGACATTTCAAACCCTAAAAATTAGGGTAACTAACCGGTTTTGTAACCGATATCCTTAACTGTTAAAACCGAATCAAAACAGTAACCGTAACCGAAACCGGAACCGATTTTATATGTTTTTGTTTAACCGGAAACGAAATCGAAATATATAGCAACCAGAATTACCGTTACCAGTTCTGTAAAAATGTGTTCTCTAAAAATACATAAGTCGTAGAACGCCCCAACATTTTAGTACGTGAGATCCTGCAAATGCTTTTCTTTTATCATTGAAAAGAAAAAAAGAAAAGAAAAGAAAAAATCATACAAAAATTACGCGACCAAAATCAAATCCCTACCGAAAATTTTACACGTTCATAAGTTAATAAGTACAAGTAAAAAAAATTCAAAGCTTCTAGAAACTTAGCACATCTACGTGCAAAAATCATATTCGCTCTAATAATTAATTATCAGCAATAGCATTTAATTATGTTACAAATATTATTTTTTTAACCGCTATTGTACGGTTTTATTGGTTGGTAACGTAACCTAAACTTAAATACAATTTATTTAATCAAAACCGAAAGCGTAATCGAAATACGTAGTTATATTGGTTTCAATCGTAACAGTAACCGACACCGATATTTGTTTCGGTTTTAATTTCTGCTATACATTATATATTCTTTAGATAGCTCAATATTTCAGAATCACGGTTTTAATTGTACTTAAATCGGACGCCCATTTCAAATAGCTCCCAGTTACCTCGATAAAGTTAAGTAATGGTTTATTAATGGTTAATTAATTTTATTAAGACTTTATAGGGTCGGCAACCCTTCCCCTATGATGAACCATCAAAATTTTGCCTGGACATATGCGCACCCTAATCAATTGCGAACATCTGGGTATACAATATAAATAAAAACTATTGAAAAATACAAAATTTAAGAAAAAGCGTATTCAATCTTAAAACTCCAAGAGGTTCATACTTATTTTTAACAGCCTTCTCCGTGTTTTAATATCATTGCATCCAAGAGGCCAATCTAGTTTGCATAAAATCAGTTCAAGTGTGTAATTGCGATAATCTGCCTCTAAGTACTTAAATAAATAAAGTTAATTTCAAAGATACTCTCGCCTGGCTTTCTTCTCTCATTCTTTGTGTTTCCCTTTCAAAACTTTTTGGAAAAGGTTTTGTGGTACGGTCCCAAAGGTTGGTCTTTCCTCAATTTGGGGCAGAGGTGAGGGACTTGGCAGGAGGGAAGAAACAATAAACCGATTATTAGAATGCTAGAGATGCAAAGATACGAGCTGTAAAGATACAGAGTAGCGGATAGATGAACTGTCCTCGGGCGTGTGAACTGTTGCATATGCCTCCAGCTAAACCTGAATGGGAAAATGGGGGTTGAGGGGCTCAGCATGTGTGTGTGGCTGTCATGACTTTTATTTGTTTGTAATTAAATGTATCTGTAGCTGCGCTGCCTATCTTGTAGATTGCATGACGCGGCGCAAAAGGGGTGACATTTTAATCCCCAGCTAATCGCATATGTGAGTGCGTCTCTCTGGAAAATGACTACAGTCACTTGAAGGCCTTGACGCCCAACTCTGGCTGCTTCCCGCTCCACGTTTAATAAAACTAGAAAAAGTTTCCATCTGCAGCGCAAAAAAGTCCCCAAAGCTTTCAAAAGATCACAAATTTCAATTAAAGAAAACGCCAAACTCATCAAATTTTTATGCTGCGGGTTTAACAAACTTCAGGTCCCACTTTCTAGCGGGACTTAAAAATTGTGGTTCAGCAAAATACGAAAGAAAAGTTGAAAATTCCCCCCTGCGGAACTCAAACTTCAAGTTAACCCTTTGCCCGTGACTCCGAGCGTCTCTTTATTCTTTAAACATAGAAACGCGTGAAAAAGGCAACAAAATTAGCTGTCATGGCAGGAAAACTTATAATATTTGTATTTTTTCCATTCTCTTGATTTAAGCATCCCACTTTTCTTTGAGACGATGCCATTTATTCTTGAAAAAAAAACTTTCCCTGAAGGACGACCAAAAGCAAAAGCAGCAAACTAAGTTGATGAGTAAAAAAGTAACGACTGATTTACTTACTGAAAAGTTATGAAGATGGTAAATGCACAAGTCGTGTCTGCTTTATACACAATACAGGAAAATAGCTGCAGGCATTTTGAATGAGTCCTCTTGATTTAAGTAGAAAATGCTTAGTCTGCTAATAAACAGTCCGTTATCCTCGAATAGGATTTAGTACGAAGTAAGCTTTTTAAATCAATTTCAGCTTGTAATTTTTCCACAAAGCGTAACATGTTATTTAATATTTGTGTAGTAGACATCGTGATCCACGTTTTACTCTGCTCTTAAACGATTGGAAAATTTATGGGAAAATCGGCTAAACTTCATTGTTTTCAATATCAAATATAAACTTGCCGAATTTAGCTTCCTTTTTTTTATTATATGTAGATATGATACGGTCATAAACATTCAAACTCCGGAAGAAACCAAAGTGAACTTTACACTCTTTTTAAAACCCCTTCCGTCCATGAGAATTGTAAAATACTTTAACACACCAAAGTGTGTTGGTTATTTAACGATTTCCGAGTTTGAGCTCGAGTTTTTATTTTACTTAACAACATGTAATTATACAATTATAGTCTTGTCTCACACAAATTCCAGGTTGGATGGATCACCCAGGCCACAGATAACTACTCGTCAAGTGCTCAATTCATATTCCATTGTTTGGCCGACAATACCCTGGGTGACTGGGTACTCGAGCAGCCCCTGAGCCGACATAATGTTTCCATTATGGACTATTAAGCACTCCGTTACTAGTCCGTGCAACCCCGACCGGATCAGAAGGCTGGGTCTACACAAACACCCCTGCTTACGCGATTCCGGAGCACATCGAATCACTTCAAGTGTTTTCCTAATTTCACGGTTTATATATCTTTTTATTTTATTTTATTTTCGGTTTCTGTTTCGGTTTCGCTTTGAGTGATGCGGTGTTGCTCGCCCCTCACAATTTGCAAACGTTGCCTTATTTACTTTTAATTTGCCTGCCAAACAATCGCATTCTGATATGTTCCTCTTTGCTGATTTTTGGTTACGACATTATCTGTTCTGGCGTCCTGAGTGGAGGGCCCCGCATGTGAAGCGAGGGCTCCGCTCATTACCGTTTGCAGATTTATTTATTTCGATTTCGATTTCTGGGGCACGCGTTGCGCTTTTCAGCTTATGGGCGGCAGGGTTTCCTTCGACGATGATGACCATCATTTGGGATTTTGCGTGCGGTATCGTCGTGAAGTCGGCGTGGTCGTGTCATGCTGTGGGAACGAAACAGCTGCCCGGCAGCTCGCTTTTCCACCGCCACTTATCATTAATTTTTCCGTCGCGTTTTCCCTTGCCCATTCTGGCATCCGGACATTCCTGCCTTTGTCTGGGCCTGCCCCTCCTCAGCTTTTCCCCCCAGCACCTTAGCACCCCATGAATGCTTGTATTTTGACATAATTGCTTTTGCTCTGGCGGAACTTCTGGTCCGCTTCCCTCTCCGCTACCCTAATTAATTGATTAACTTCAGCAAATCGGTCAATATGTTTGCTCTGTTTCTCTGTTTCTCTTTGTCGATTTGTTTCGCCTTCCTGCAGGGGCGGGCGGATGTGATCCTCGTAATGAGTTGCTAATTAGATTTGTAGGTTGTAATTTTTTGCTCTCTCTTTTCGCCAGCGGGCGTAACTTTTTGTTCCACAATTTAGAAAAGCCTGAGAGACTTGCCAGGTGTTTACCTACGGAGCAGGAAGAGGTACGTGGGTTGAAGGGTGTAAGGAAAACTCCTTGATTTTGGTAAGAGTTTATAAGTCAAGTGTTAATTAGATTTCATATTCATGAGGAAAAAGGACTTTGCTAGCAAATAAAGACAAATACGTAAAGGAATAAGTTATTAAATTATGGTGCTTATTTTTATGATCATTATATGCCTAGAGCATTAGAATTAATAATCGGTCCAGGAGGAAATGCAGTGAAAGTACAAAGATGAAAGTTTTAAAAATTTCCGACCTTTCCGACTCTATAATCAATATCAGAATCACAAGTCGTGATGGTCTGTCTATAAACGTTCTTAAAACGTCCAGATCTCCGAAACAAAAAAAGCTACAGATTTGGGATCTAACCTGTAGATTCTAGCACTAACCATACAACACAACAACAACACAACGCACACGAAGTGCAGGGGCATGCTGCTGTGAGCACGGGGGCCTACCGCGATCCGTTTTTTTGTGTCCAAATGCGTTGTATGAAATGACCAGTCAATATGTTGTATGGTTAGTGATTCTAGTTATGACCATTCAGCGCAAATTAATTTTAAAACGTGGCCAAGCCCACTCTAATGCCCACAAATCGCGAAAGTCCGTCACGGCAATCTGAGTCATGATAGAGGTCAGTTATAAAGCTATATATGTTTATTCGGTCAAAATCTATCGACTCATGCACAAATTTACCTAATTTTCATTATTTTAGAAGTAATGATCATTAATGTACATTTAAAGGTAGATGGCGCCACCTAAATCCCGACTATTTTTTGTGGTATTTTAGTTTTCAATATACATATGTTAAGGCCGGGCATTTTGTGTTATATACCGCAAGTTCTGGTTAACCAATTTCAGCCATAAACATAACCTTCTTCAATATT